GGGATCGAAGGGAAATTGCATTGGTGTCCTCGCTTCTTTGTCTTTTTGCGTGGCTTCTTTTCAGATGGCTGGGTTCCGGGCCAGGCAAGTCCCAAGATGGTCAATTGAGTGGTTGTCGCACCCACAAAGGCGCGATCAATAATGTTTGACGTCGCTTCTTTCTTGTTTTGTTGTCGGGTTTTAGGTGCGGAGGTCGCGCGGAAAGTTTTGCTTCTTTTTTAAATTCTTTTTTTGAATCTTGTCGAGCCCTCGATGGCTCTTGGAATTTCGGACTTTCTTTTCAGAATTTGCGCTTTATTAAAGTTCTTTGTGCAATAAGTTTAGAATTTTAGGAATTTAGGAATTTAGGAATTCGGGATTTCTTTTGCCTCGCGTTGTCTTTCTTTTGCGCTTCTTTTTGCGGCTGCAGCGGAGCTCTGATTAGTCGGCGCCCTTAATCTCGTGTGTAACTGTAATTTTTGGGCAGGCGCCATTGTAACTGTATCTCCCTTCTTGAGCTTCATCTTTCCCCGCCCTCTCCTTTCCTTTTTGTTGTGGATGTCTAGCCCGCGGGCTGCATGATCGGATCGATGCGTGGAGATGGCTACGCCCCCCACGCCGTGGTCTGGCCATGTAGAACGTAGGCGCTCCCTCTCCTAATCTCCTTTCTAAGTCCTTGCAATTCCGTATTCTTTGCGCTTGCATGCACGCTACAAATTCCGACTGAGCGATTAGGTAGCTCTCTAAACTAGTTGATGGAAGCTCGGGGTAGCGCGATCAGTGAGGGTCGGCTCACGAGCGAAGTAAGAGGTAAGTTGAAGTAGGAGTCGGGCGACCTGACGAGCTGGTGCCGAATGCGCAGGGTTGACGTGTGGGGCTACGACGGACTGTAGCGCGCGGGCGAACCTGACGGGTGCAGGAGGACTAAGCGGGGTGATGACTTCGTGGGTTGGTGCGTGACGACGGACTGTCCGCATCGGAGGAAAAGAGAGAGGAAGAGAGAGCTGAGGTTGATAGACGTGGGTTTGCAAATTTTCTTTGTCTTTTCCTTCGATTTTGTATATAAGTTTTAATCTCGGCTCGAGCGATTCGCTCTTATTTTCCTTCGGCATCTTTGTCTTAATGTTGGTACTTGTATGATGTCTTATTCTGTTTCGATTCTCCCTCTTCTGTGTGTATGGGATGAATTGGTTCGGATGGAATGATATGTTTGTCGTTTTTGCCTAGTCATCATCATTGCTTGTCACCTTGATCCACTGATTAGTATGGTAGGAGCTCTGATGTTGTTGCGATGTCTGATATGTAATGACACCTTGCACGCCCGGAAATGATTGCTTGTGGGACCACTGAAGTGATTAGATGATTGGGTAGTTATCCCTGACACATGACGAATTTTGCATGAGGGATTAAATTTTCCCTTTTGGCGTAAGCGTCGACCAACAGGCCCGGGTGCAAGCGAACACCTCGTGTGGATACGTGTAAGCGCGATCCGAATTGCGCGGCCTACACGTGTCCACGCCCGGCGATTCACGTTCACTAACAAACCCGGATATCGGATATGCGGGGAGTTTTCCTTCCTTCACGCACCCGAGCTGGTAGGAATTTTCGATACCCTATCGGGAAATCCCCTTGTCAGTCAAGTGTGTGCAGAAGGCTTCCACTACGTCGCAATGACAAGATGACGTACACACGGGACTCAGGGTACTTCGAGCCTTGTGTAAGAGAATATCTTAGGCGGAGACACTCGGAATTCCCCTGCCTAACCGAGAACTTATTGTGCCCCAAGGAGTTTAACTGTGCCGTAACTAGCGATCCAAGGTGCCCCGATTACCCAACTACGTATAACACGCAATACTTCACATCCCCCGTCTTCGTCGTTATCACTAGCAATTTCCCTCCCTTCCGTCTCCTTCTCCCGTACCATCAACTCACGGTGGTGTCGTGGAATTCCATCGCCCCGTATTGGCCCCGCGCGCCTTGCAGAACTTGCATACGACGCGGCAACGAACGACCCTCTGAAACGGCGGAGCCTAACCAGAACATGCGACGACAGACGCCACGTGTCTACACCCGAAGGTCCGACTTATAAAAATCGCAACCCTCACGAACGGGCCTCTCCCGAACCGCCGTCACCAAAACAGACAGATCGGACGGCCCTGGATGCACCACGCATGCCATCTTCCTTATGCTGCACGACATCGACCGCCGCCAGACCGGAAGTAACCCGCCCCTTAGCCCTATTGCATCTATGCTCCTGGACCCTTGCCAGAGGAGATCTCAGTTTCGACCTGGGACTCTACCCCCACTTTCCCCAAAAATCCTTGGCACACCCCTTTTCGCACTTCCAGGCCCACACCCCACTCCAATCAGGAAGTCGCGTCGGGCATGAGGTTGGTATCGGAGCCCGACACGTGGTAGGGTTCTAGGACTCTTAGCTTGGCGATCTGGCTAACAGGGGACGACCTCGACCCCTGGAACGCGCATCAACGCGACCTCGTCGTTACCACAAGTCGGTCCGCGGCTCGACGGGCGGTCAACATGAACGCTAATCAACAGAACCCAAATCCCCAACAGAACCCCAACCAACCGATAAATCCTAATCAACCCGCACCACGAGCACGGGCTCCCATAACTTCACCCGATCTCTATCTGTTTGACCCTACACATCATCTTGCTGGAGCATGGCTAGCCACGCTCCGAGCTCAGCAGTGCGATGATAACGAGGCGCATGTCAACATTCCCGCTCGACTGGGAGGAGATGCTCATCATTGGTTCAGTACCTATGTATGGGTAGATCTCCCGATATTCAAGCGAGATTTCTTGAACCGATTTGATTATATCCACCCTGAACAGGCCCTTTTCATGATTAAAGATCGAGTTCAAAAACCCCTCGAATCTGTCACCGAGTATCGAAACCGATTCTACAGGATGTTTGTAACAACGAAACGAGGCGAACAGGTAGGCAGAAATTTGTTTATCGATGGGCTCCGCAGCAGAACGATGAGGGTGAAACTGCAAAAATAGATCTCCCCCATCAATCACACGCTGCAACAGATCATGGCAGCCGCAGAGAAAATGGAACTGAAGTTCGCCACAAGTTTCCTAGAACGGGAAGATTACCCTAGGGAAGGAGACTCGTTTGAACTAGCGAGAGCTAAAGCTGAGTTGGCCGCACTTCATAATAAATTTGAAAATATGGGGTTTGTGTCTGGCCCGGTCACCTATCTAGAACAGATTACCCCCAAACGACCCACCTCGAGTGTGACTACGAGCATGCCCGTACCTATGATGACAGCACCCCCGCCACCGATCGAAACCCCCGCACGACCAAATGAGTCTTCCGCCTTGTTGGAACTAACCCAAACACTGGTCAATTTGATTCAAGAAAGCAAAAAGGAACAGCGGGAACATAATGCTCGAATAGAGGCAATGATGAGGTCGATGCGACCAACTGGTAATCTGAATGTTTGTTACACATGTCATCAACCAGGGCACATAGCTCGGGATTGCCCGCATCGACCCTCACAACCGCGAGTTGGGGCCGCACCGGTAGTAGCAGCCCCGATCGCTAACGGGCCGGGACGAGAAGGGGCGCTGATGGAAGAAATGGAAGGAGGCGAAAGCGCATTACCTACGATGGAGGAAGCTGCCGAACTAGTCCCGTTAGAGCAGTATGTAACGCTCGGATATCTGGGGCTTGGGATGATTGGAAGGATTAGACCCGCACCGGAACAAAGGGAAGTGGCGAAATGGTGACCCTCTCCCGGAGAGATGGAGTCGGGAGGACCCACCTTCGTCACTGGGGAGATCAATGTTTTGAACATCGTTCGATCCTTAGATCATCGGATTCCTCTTCCGATTGGTCATCTACTTTCGATATCGGAACAAGCCAACGAACGGATGTTGCAACATTGCAAGGCGAATCGAAAACGATTCGCCTTTGCCCGGATAGCGAACACGAAATTTAACAAAAAGTCCAACACAAGACGAAAACGTTGTCGGTACTTCAGACCCAATACGGTTAGGATTAATCCAGAAGGACGATCACTTCCTACGAATTAAATCAATCCCATGGAAGTCTGCGGAATGCGATATCGAGATATGGGGAATCCCGTACACTGCCATCATCGATTCTGGAACCTCTGTTTTGGCTATCTCATTACGGGTAGTTGAAAGGGCAGGAAGAAAGAACGATCTGATCATGCTTGCGGGAAAAAATCAGCTCGTCTCAGTAGACGAAGAGAAAATTAAAACAGTGGGACGGATGACCAATGTTGCCTTCCAATTAGGGAAAGTACATGCTTTAGGAAATGTCGTAGTTTTAGACGTAAACACTTACGACGTCCTTTTTTGCCTTCCTGCTCTTGTGGCCTTGCGAGTCAATCTGGATTTCGAGAGGCGATCGATTGTCCTCCGGAATACAGGAGGAAACCCCTATGTTGTACCCATGAGGCTGACTCTTTGAACCACGGCTAATGTAACCCCGCGAGTTTCTCCAATAATGGCGGGAACTCTTCACGTGATTACCTGGGATAATTCTGTTGACGGTGAACAATCTCCGAAGGACGCGGACAACAGTAATGAGGACAATCCAATAATTTTGGAGATGGCGCAACAGCGTATCTATTACCCTGTGCAACGAGCAAACACGAAAGCACTAAGCCTGACTGATTAGAATCTACAAAGAACGCAAGCCATGATTATGGATGAACCCCTCGTGCAGATTTCGAGGATGGTAAATTCTTTGGAACTCCGTCGAACCCTGTACGAAGGTATCTCCCCTTTACTCGCACGATATAATGACAAAAGGCACTACTGCAACATCACAAATCTTCCTCGATCTCTTTTGTCACCTGCAAAAGAGATACGATTGATACGCTTGGGGGCGGAAACCAATTCTTTGGAACCCCCTGAGCGCCTTGAAACGGGACTTGGAATCAAAATCGCAACGAAACCTGTGCCATGGCAGGACATCCGAGACGGAATAACGCCGGAAGAACACGTGGCTATTCGGGAACAGGACGCACAGATGATGGTCACGGTATTCTCCTGGCGATCGGATAATTCGTTTATTTCCGGCCCCCCACCTGAAAGCGCTAAGCGGGTAAGTACGAAACACATCGATGTACGGATGTGGGATCAACTGTATGAATTGCACGTGCCTCAATACGTACCTGATGAAATCCATCACCTTGTCACGGATATTTTGAAGGAATACAAAGGAGCGATTAGTGTGACGGACACAGACATCGGACGGATCCGGGAGTTCGAAGCCAATGGGTGGATCGAACCTGGTACTGGGCCGTGGTCATTTCCAGTAGTTCTAGTGCCAAAAAAGAACGGGTCGATTCGCATATGCATCGATTATCACAAATTGAATGATATCACTATCAAAGATGTGTATCCCCTTCCCAGGATTGATGATCTGCTTGATGCGATTGGGTGTGCCAATTATTTCAGTAAATTTGATATTCACCACGGTTTTCATCATATCCTGGTTAAGGAGGAAAATCGACCGCAAACGGCCTTCGTACTATTTGAGGGCACGTGGCAGTGGTTTCGGTGTCTGGTGGGGATTTGCAACGCGCCTGCCACGTTTCAGCAGGCTATGAATGTGACATTCCAGAACTTCGTCAACAAGACGCAGCTAATTGAGGGAATGATTAACTTCTGCGTCATCGTGTATATGAACGACATCCTGGTCTACTCGGAAACCTATCACGGGCATGCACAGCATATCGAGTGGACGCTAGGAGCTCTGAGAGATGCTGGGTTCAAAGTCGCGCTCGAAAAAAACGAGTTTTTCCTCTCAGAAATCTCGTTCTTGGGTTACGTGGTGACACGTGGAGGACTGCGGCCGGATTCGAGGAAAGTCGCCGTGGTGAAAGATGCTCTTATTCCCACGTCATTGACGCAGGTTTGAGTTTTCCTGGGATTAGCATCGTACTACCGCCGCTTTATCAAAGGCTTCGCATTGATTGCACGACCTCTAACAAACCTGCTACAAAAGGACCAGCCCCTCAACTGGGACGCAGAGTGCAAACAGGCCTTCGCCACCCTCAACGACGCTCTGGTGACGACACCTATTTTGATCCGACTGGACCCTACGAAGCAGTTCATTCTTATCACGGACTGGCAGCCAGAGGCGATCTTCACTATTCTAGCGTAGAAGGGGAACGGCGGTCGAGAACACGTCATCGAGTACATATCACGCACGGTGTCAGATGAGCGGAGGAACGATTCGATCCCGCAGGGCGAATGTTACGCAGTAGTCTGGGGGATTCAGCACTTCCATCCGTACTTGTACGGATAGAAGTTTCTTCTTGTAACCGATCACGAGCCATTACTGGCTCTCAAGAAGCTCACTAATTACACGGGTATGATTGGACGATGGGCGGTGCGTCTACAGGAATACGACTTCGACATCATCTATCGAAAGACGGGGAGGCAGGGCAATGCGGACGGCTTAACACGTCGCATCGCCCCGCTAAGGTACCTAAGGGTGAAGAAATCATTTGGTGGAAGGAACCGGAGTCAACGAACGGACCCAAGTATGGGCAAGTGGCAGTCCTTCCACGTGGCAAGAAGCAGGCGGTTGGCAATGGGTGACGGAGGTAATCTTGCGACTCCTCTCTCTCCCCTTTCATCCTCATCTCTTCTTTCCCTACTTGACAAATTTTGTTATTTTTGTGAAGCAATCTCGTGCGTCTATTCGATCCCTATGCGTCCTAACGGGGAGGGATATGCAGAATGGATAGATTGTCGGCAGTGTGTCGCACGAGCCCACAACTCATGTATCCAGTACAGAAATGACAATAAATCTTGGTTGTGCCCTTTGTGTCGGGTTGATAAGATCCCGTCTGAGGCTCGATTTCTTGACGCCACGTCAGAAGGATTAGAAAAGACCCGGAAGTTTACAAGGGCCGAGGTATGGACGAATATCGCTCTAATAGCCACCTTGGTAGGTAACCCCCTCCAGGACTTCACTAAAGAAGACCGGAGGAGGGCCAATGAAAGGGCTCGGGACTATCGCTGGAACGAGGGCCGGTTAGAAAAACGAAAGACGGATGGTAGTGGGATTTGGATTGTAGTGTCGCACCCATTCATGAGGTATGACTGGATTAAGACGGCGCATGAGGAAACTGCAGCCCATTTTGTCGTCCGAATTACGGAAGCGGCAATCGATAAAAATGAGTGGTATTGGTCCAATATTCACAATGATGTGAAATTCATCGTCGCGGACTGCCAGATCTGCGCTGCTAACAAGGCACCGATTCAGCCACCAAGATCGATAGTGCCGACGGTAGTCGAACGGCCTTTCTCGAGGGTGAGCATGGATACTACCGATATTGTGGTGCCCCCTGGACCTAATAGCTGCGAATATTCAATCCTACTCGTATTTGTAGACCACTTTTCAAAATGGATCGAGGCATATCCGTGTCGTACGCGACAGGCGGCTGAAATCATGCGATACGTCAACCGGTTTTTAGGAATGCATCAGGACACAGAGGAAATCCTGACCGATAATGGGGTAGAATTCAGAGAGGAGGTTTTAAGGAATCTGGTCGTACATGGCGTCGCCATTCGGAACACTGCACCCCACATGTCACAATCTAACGGCCTGGTAGAAAACGCAAATCGGGTGATAAAGACAGCGTTGCGACGAAACATTGCGGCATGGGATCCGAGGCCCTGGCCCGATATCGTAGATCACATCCTGGCGGTCCATCGGGGAACGCCTCACGAATCGACAGGCCTTAGCCCCTTCCAATTACGAACCAATAGCGTAGCTTGTGTCTCGATACCGAGCCTCCCCGATGAAATCCTCATTGAACCGACGGCCCACAAGAGCCACGGTCCGGGACAAAGCCAAGCGGCACATCGAGCTGATGGAACAGTCCCTTCCCCGATTAGCCCGGAAGCGCCAGAAAAAGACTGAGTTGGCCCACGGAAGACAAGTTCGTAGCTATGAGGCCCGAAATGGGAACGCAGGACCACGGCCCCAGTATAAATTAGGGGACCTGGTGCAGGTGAGGAAATGCGCTCGCCAAGGGAAGATAGCGCCACGATTCTTTGTGCGGTTTCGTGTGATTGAACTCGGCCCGAACGGGGTGAACACTGTGCGCCTCGTGCCGGAGGTCTCGAGAAGCTGATCGACTCGACCAATCGTCCGCCACGTGTCCTATCTACGTCTTCTTCCTTCTTCTCCATCTCCAGTTGTATCTGCTTCCTCCTTCGCTACAGAGGAGGACGACGATTCCTTATCGCTCTCATCCCCCTCCTGCATCTCTCGCCACTTCTCATACCCCGTCCCCATCGCCATCACCATGAGTATTCTCACTGAACGAGCTCTCAGCGATCACATGCTGGCACCACGTGGCGACATTTCGGCAATTTGGCAAGTTTGTCATCCGCGGCTCAGTCCAGATCTGCTCCAACTCGCGCATCAGCACCACAGGGGTGTACGAGGTGACGGAGTTCCGATTCACGGGCCACCGTCAAGCGATCGTGTTGGCAGAGGCGTCGGTTGTTCGACGGCAGTCAGCACCGGGAGTTAGCCACGTGTCTACAGTCGTCATCTTCAACGGCGATATTAGCATGATCAACCCTCTACGACACACGGCCATCCGGACGTCGCTAAGGGAGTGGGGCCAGCAGCTGGCAACGGAGTGGAATCAGTGGCTTACGCGCCGCGGCGACAATCTTATCCCCAGGACGGCATCGACGTCGGAGGGCTCCGAATGTCTCGGCACGAGTCGGCGGTGGTACTCCCTGAGCTCGTCCCTTTCCAGCGCCGCCAATGAACCGCTCCAGGCTCTCTACCTTCGCTCTCTGATCTCTCTTCCCTACCTTCTGGCAGTTTAACCTTTGCTCCCGTCTCTCCTTTCGTCTGGAATCACTCGTTGTCCCCTTCCTCGATCGAAGACAGTGGAAACAGTGGTGCGAGCACTTCATCGATCTCTTGGTGTGTCTGATCGGAGTGCAGCTGACGTGGACGCAGGACATCCAGCACCGCGCCTGGGTCGAATACGCGGAGCTGCTAATTGTCCAAGCCTGGAGGACGGAGGTAGAGGGGGACCTTCTCAGATTTCTGTTCGGATCGGTGTGGCCTAGCCATCGACAGCTGATCGTGTGGGAACTCACAATCCCCCTCCCGCAACCGGTTGATGATCTTTCCTTCGACATCATCTCGCAGTGCGACGAAAGTCCGGTCTCGTACGTCCTTTCGCGAACGCTGACGCCCTATCTGTTGTGGTTGGCTTGCCTTGAAGAGCAAGGAGGGAACAACAACCCGCCATCGCAAGCCGAGTACCTGAACCCGCGAAGGATAATCCACATCTCCTTCTTCCAGCCTCACACGACCTCCGAAGATGAAGTACTAGCGCTGGAGGAGGAAGAAGAAGAAAACGAAGAGAACGACGAGGAAGAAGAAAAAGAAACCCCAGAAGAAGGGAGTTACAACGAGCATAGTGAGGAAGAGCAGAGCGGAGAAGAAGAAGAAGAAGAGGACAAGGAGCAAGAGGAGTCTGAGTGGGAAAATTTGGGCGAGGAGGCGAGCCACACAGAGATCCAGGAGGAAGATCCAGAGGAGACGGCGCGGCGCAGAGGAGAGATCGCGGCCGGTAAGCAGCCGCTAGAGTATGCAAGTGGAACGGATATGCCAACCTCAGACGATCCGACCAAGGATCCGAAGCCACCCAAGCCGGAGGATGGGGACCTTGCTGCCGAGACTTCGAGCGCACCGGCCCGACGGAGACGAAGCCGATCCCCCTCCCCCTCCACCTCCGCCCGTCCACCAGTTCGAGCTCGTACCGATGCAGGGCATCGCGCTTCGTCCCCGGTCCTTATCCCGTTGTCCCCTTGACCACCTCACCCTCCGCCAGATCACCACCCACGTCACCTTCCCCTGCAATCCCTTTCCAATTGACACCTTCCGCTTTTTCTACGCCACCCGTCTTGCTGTCAAGGTTTATCCCCATCCCTCGACCCGGTGTGCCACCCCCGTCTTCTATCTCCACGCCCTTCTCTTCAGTGTCGCGTGGCGAGGCCACAACATCATCGAGGTTTACTACATGATCACGGGGACTATCCCCGCGTGCGGGAACCACGATCGCTTCTGCATGGCGCTCTTCCGAACCTTCACCACCCTCTATCCCGACTATCTCGCATCCCTTCCTCATAGTGGTAATCGATTCCCTCGCTTCCATCGGATCATCCGATATCAGGAGCTTCCGGTGACGGTGGCGGGAATGGAGAGTATCCTACCCCCGCTCCCGACTGACCCACCCCCCCGCCATACCCCCATGTATCGTTTTCCCTTTCCCCTTCCCGGTGGTCATTGATCCACGGTTGATTGGCGCGTGCCCTGGCGATGGCACGAATAATCCCCTCCTTGGATTGAAGAGACCCCTTCCTGAGGAATTTTTAGAAGAGAGCCATGTTTGCCACACTGGATGACATCCACACTCTTTCGAATGGTTGGTGGCAACGTAGAAAGCTCCACGTATTGATCGATTAGAGAGATCGACACGTGTTGTAATGACAAGCAAGCAGGAACTTGCTTAAGATTGGAACCCCCTGGGCGTCACATATGTGACGAACCGGTTTCTGTTCCGCGCGATTTTCTGCGTGATAACAATGAGGGGTCCTAAGATGGGAAGGATGGGCCAATTACGGGAGATCGGGATCGAAGGGAAATTGCATCGGTGTCCTCGCTTCTTCGTCTTTTTGCGTCGCTTCTTTTCGGATGGCTGGGTCCCGGGCCGGGCAAGTCCCGAGATGGTCAATTGAGTGGTTGTCGCACCGACAAAGGCGCGATCAATAATGTTAGACGTCGCTTCTTTCTTGTTCTGTTATCCGGTTTTAGGAGCGGAGGTCACACGGAAAGTTTTGCTTCTTTTTGAAATTCTTTTTTTGAATCTTGTCGAGCCCTCGATGGCTCTCGGAATTTCGGACTTTCTTTTCAGAATTTGCGCTTTATTAAAGTTCTTTGTGCAATAAGTTTAGAATTTTAGAAATTTATGAATTTAGGAATTCGGGATTTCTTTTGCCTCGCGTTGTCTTTCTTGCACGCTTCTTTTTGCGGTTTCAGCGGAGCTCTGATTAGTCGGTGCCCTTAATCTCGTGTGTAACTGTAATTTTTTAGCAGGCACAATTGTAACTGTATCACCCTTCTTGAGCTTCGTCTTTCTCGCCCTCTCCTTTCCTTTTTGCTGTGGATGTCTATCCCGTGGGCTGCATGATTGGATCGATGAGTGGAGAGTGGCTACGTCCCCCACGCTGCGGTCTGGCCATGCAGAAAGTAGGCACTCCCTCTCCTAATCTTCTTTCTAAGTCTTTGCAATTCCGTGTTCTTCGCGCTTGCATGCACACTATAAATTTCGACTGCACGATTAGGTAGCTCTCTTAACTAGTTGCTGGAAGCTCGGGGTAGCGCGATCAGTGAGCGTCGGCTCATGAGCGAAGTAAGACGTAAGTTGAAGTAGGAGTCGGGCGACCCGATGAGCTGGTGCCGAATGCGGGGGGTTGACGCGTGGGGCTACGACGGACTGTAGCGCGCGGGCAAACCTGACGGGTGCAGGAGGACTAAGCGGGGTGACGACTTCGTGGGTTGGTGCGTGACAACGGACTGTCCGCATCAGAGGGAGAGAGAGAGGAAGAGAGAAATGAGGTTGATGGACGTGGGTTTGCAAATTTTCTTGTTTTTTCCTTCGATTTTGTATATAAGTTTTAATCTCGGCTCGAGCGATTCGCTCTTATTTTCCTTCAACATCTTTGTCTTAATGTTGGTCCTTGTATGATGTCTCATTCTGTTTCGATTCTCCCTCTTTTGCGTGTATGGGATGAATTGGTTCGGATGGAATGATATGTTTGTCGTTCTTGCCTAGTCATCATCATTGCTTGTCACCTTGATCCACAGATTAGTATGGTAGGAGCTCTGATGTTGTTGCGATGTCTGATGTGTAATGACACCTTGCACGCTCGAAAATAATTGCTTGTGGGACCACTGAAGTGATTAGATGATTGGGTAGTTGTCCTTGACACATGACGAATTTTGCATGAGGGATTAAATTCTCCTTTTTGGCATAAGCATCGGCCAACAGGCCCGGGTGCAAGCGAACACCTCGTGTGGATACGTATAAGCGCGATCCGAATTGCGCGGTCTACACATGTCCACGCGCGGCGATTCGCGTTCACTAACAAACCCGGATATCGGATAGGCGGGAAGTTTTCCTTCCTTCACGCACCCGAGTTGGTAGGAATTTTCGATACCCTATCGAGAAATCCCCTTGTTAGTCTGGTGCGTGCGGAAGGCTTCCACTACGTCACAATGACAAGATGACGTACACACGGGACTCAAGGTACTTCGAGCCTTGGGTAAGTGAATATCTTAGGCGGAGACACCCAAAATTTCCCTGCCTAACCAAGAACCGATTGTGCCCCGGGGAATTTCAGTGTGTCGTAACTAGCGATCCAAGGTGCCCCGATTACCCAACTACTTATAACACGCAATACTTCATATCCCCTGGCTTCCTCGTTATCACTACCAATTTCCGTCCCTTCCGTCTCCTCCTCCCGTACCATCAACTCACGGTGGTGCTGAGGAATTCCATCGCCCCGTATTGGCCCCACGCGCCTTGCAGAAATTCCAGACGACGCGGCAACGGACGACCCTCTTAAGCCGCGGAGCCTAACTAAAATACGTGACGACAGATGCCACGTGTCTGCACCCGAAGGTCCGACTCATAAGAATCGCAACCCTCACGAACATGCCTCTCCCAAGCCGCCGTCACGAAAACAAACGGATCGGACAGCCCTTGATGCACCACTCATGGCATCTGCCTTATGCTGCACGACATCGACCGCCGCCAGACCGGAAGTAACCCGCCCCTTAGCCCTATTGCATCTATGCCAATGCACCCTTGCCAGAGGAGATCTCAGTTCCGACCTGGGACTCCACCCCCACTTTCCCCAAAAATCCTTGGCACACCCCTTTTCGCACTTCCAGGCTCACACCCCACTCCGATCAGGAAGTCGCGTTGGGCATGAGGTTAGGGCGGCCATGTATAGTTCGCAAGGTATGTATATGCCTGAAGGTTGTGTGTGCTCTATGAATCAATGTATCGAGATGTATAAGCAGCATCATATGTGTATATCAAAGAGAGAATGGGGTAAGCTGGACAAGGACCCCCCGCAAGGTCCGAACCAAGCTCGAACTCATCACCTTGAAACATGTAATCGTATGACTCTACCATGTGAATGACTAGTGGAAATGGCACGAACGTGTGATATGCCAGACTCGGGAGATCAACAGAACACCCAAGACCAACACCCCCAAGCAACCCATGTGAAACCCAGAACCAACATACAGCACCATGAACAACCCTTGGGTGGTGTGCAGGCAGTGTCTGTAATAGTACCATGCGTCAGCCCAAGGGAGTGTATGTCCAGTCGTGCGTCAATCTAACGCCCTACCGGTGTCCATGCGCAAACCTGCAACCTCATACCACAATGCGCATTTCCAACCGGTGCTCTAACCACTGAGCCACATCAACTGGACACATAATAATTACCTTATGTCTCCCCAACCACATCAACAAACAAATTACGGGTTGCGTTGTCGAGCGCATCGGTCCGGCACCGCACGTGGCAGCGCGGGACCCTCTCGGCCGCGTCACTCAGGAGTTGGACAACCTCGTCGCGAACACACAAGTGGAGCTTCCTTAGGCCGCTTCGGCCGAGTGCGCCAGCCATACCTCTCGCGAGCCCCTACGACAGGATAGGGCCTACGCGAGGCACAACTTACCTCCACCTTACGGGAGTTGTCACCTCCCTTCGGTGGGCGTATCCCCGCCGAGCTACCAGTCCACAGTACAAAAGCTAATCAGTTGCAATCGCAGAGGTGGACCAGCCGAGGGCGTTTCTCGTTCGCTGTAGCATAGGGGGTACGCACGGTAATACGCCTCTATCGAACCCGTACGCGAACCGACATCTTGGGGGGCTGAGGTCCCAAGCGCGACTCGACGTCGGTCGACTAGGACGCATCCCACACACCACGCGCACACCACTTTACGAACACAAAAATAAAGGCACACGCACGCACATACAACACGACATAATATAAACAACTCGACAACGCTCCTAGCCCCTCGGTAACCAACCCATAACTTTCTGATGCAGAAATCGAATAGGTGTCGCGCGCGAGACTCCGTGTAAAACCGCACGGACGCAGGGCTAACTCATATCGACTCGCAATGCAAGCGTACGCAAGCAGTCGCAATGATGGCGTACTATGTAGTACCCATACTCACGTGGTCCCCGTTAATCGCAAGGGTCGCGTTCGACACTCAAGTGTCGGTTGACACGCGCCTTGAGGGTTAATCTCTCGATGCTGGACAACCGCCATGCGCGGTTAAAGACCACACTCTCTTCTGCACCCTGTGCAAAGGGGTTGAGTGGACAACTTTAAGCTATCGTGGCGGTCGAACATCAAGGGGTTTGACTTTGACGGCTGTCATGGACTACAACGTCCAACCATACAAACTATAAAAAACAAGGGTAAAAAGGGGACCTCCCTTCCCTCTCGAGACATAATCCAGTTAACCCTCATTCACACTCATTGTAGGCCTCTCAAATACTCAGGGCACTTATAAATACGTAAGGGTTGATTATATAGGGCGATCACTTCTCACAGTCACAGTGAGGCTCCTCTCAGCCATATATGTATGAAATCGCAGGCAATCACATCCAGAGTCCGAACCACAACCATACCTGCAATCACATCAAAGATTCAACCAAAAGTCCATGCACTACACGGGGTCAACTTCAACCATTCCTTGCACTCATACCCCTCACTTTAGCCATACAAGTCTCACTCGTGCAACTCTTAAATAAATACTCAGTACTTTTGTTGGATGGCCATTCAATAAAGTCCGGGTAAAAACA